CTCGTCCCAGCAGAGGAGTGGTCACGCTGAGGAATCCCTCTCCTACAAACCCTCCTCCAAGCCTGCCGCACCATCCCCCCGAGGTGAAGTGGAGCAGGCGAAGACATGGGCTCAAGCCTCTCTGCCTCCATCCTTGGGGGGGCTCGGACAAACCGACCCGTCAGTGGAAGGAGAACACAGTTTCCTCACCAGCTATAGTCAAGCCCGGGACTTGATCACAGGCATCAGCACGGGCGCGGAATCCAACCTGGCACTTGTCTCCACACAAATGACAGCGAAGTACCGGGCCCTTACCCCACTGGCCCAGTAGCAGACCGAGTGCGAGGCCAGACTACCGACAGAGGCACGGGATCTGCTGGACAAGGTGACACAAGACCCCACCGGCGCACCTCTTCAACATGCGCTTGCCCCCAAAGTACAGTATGCTCAACAAGTAGCAGCATCACGGCTCATGCAGGTCAACCTAAATTCAGGACACACACAACGACTGTTCTCACTTACAGGCTATGGAGCTGGCGACTGGCTACTGACGATCCCATTCACCCCTTCACTTCGCCTAAGCCCCCACCAGTTCGCAATGGCGGTGCAGTTCAGATTGGTTATACCTTTCGCTACACCTCACGAGTGTGACTGCCGCAAACAGATTCGGATCACAAACTGGCGGCTGCCCAACCACCTACTCTGTTGTGGAAGGGTCCGACAGTGGGGTTGTCCTGGCCAGGAACAATGGTTTAGGGTTGTCCCTACTTGAAAACCAAAAGTTTTCCCGCCCGCCACCCATTTTTCCCCCTCCTGGGCCTACCTCCTGAAAGCGATCTTGTTCCTCGGTCACTTCCTTCATTCGGACGTCCTTCTCCTCCAGCTCAACTCTCATCTGAGCCAGCTGAGCGCGCATCTGCTCCACCTCATCATCTCTCTCAGAAAACTGCGGAGGAAGCGATGTGTGAATCCAAATATTAAGCAGTGAGACAACTATGCAATGAGACAACTATGCAATGAGACAACTATGCAATGAGACAACTATGCAGTGAGACAACTATGCAATGAGACAACTATGCAGCGAGACAACTAAATGATTCAACTGTGCAATGAGAAAACTATGCAATGAGAAAACTATGCAATGAGACAACTATGCAATGAGACAACTATGCAATGAGACAACTATGCAGTGAGACAACACAACTATGCAGTGAGACAACACAACTATGCAGTGAGACAACACAACTATGCAGTGAGACAACACAACTATGCAGTGAGACAACACAACTATGCAGTGACACAACTATGCAGTGAGGCAACTATGCAGTGAGACATCCGAGATAAAGGGAGAGAGGCAAGGAGAAACAGAGGTAGACATACATCGAGGAACACATGTCGGCAGCAACGATGCCTCTCTAAGCAATCACCCCTGTCAATCATCATACTCATCCCCCATTCCCCGCGCACAACACTAGCAGACGTCTTACCCCTCTCGGGGTGGCACCCGTGGTGCTCCGAATTGCAGAATACAGCCTTGACCGCCGCCAACACTCAACCACCACGCCACACGGCTGAGTTCAACTTTCTGCTGCGACAGGCAATGCTGCCAATCCCCTTGGGCGGACAGACCCCACCACTGAAGCAGCACCGGCTTACCTGGCGTCAACAACGGAAGCACTACGACTACTCCGCACCCTCGACTTACCCTCGTCCGCCGCGCTGGGAGCCCACAACAACCTCGTGCAGCCGTCATCAACGCATGCAGTCACCATCAGGGACATGGAGGTGTGCCTTCTGCTGCTCACGCTACAAAGCCTCCAAGAGGAACAACAAAGTTCGTCCCAGGACCAGCTGCAACGAGTCCTCTCTCAAGAGGTCCACGTAGCAAAGGCTGAGGCCCCCACTGAGGATCTGCCATGTCCCTAGGGGACTGTTTTGCAGTGCTGGAGCCCCTCGTGGAGCTCCCGTAGAGCACTGCTTAGTAAAGAAGAAGCGGCAGGGAAGTTGTCTTGCATGCCCGATAGTTAGAAAGATATGTTAGAATCGTTTGTTGTGACTTACTTAGTTTGGCCACTCCTCTGTACCTGGCTATTTCAATATACGGACCATTTGAGAGATATGGGTGGGGGAGCACCACGTCGCCCACTCGTACACCACCAACTACAGGAACACCCTTTATCTTACAGGCCGACATAGCAAACGCCTTCACCAGCATCAACCGCAGTTCCATTATCAACGCCCTCAACGACACGCGCTTGCGCACGCTGCTGCCGCTGGTCGAACTCTCCTATGGCAGCCCCCCACTACTCTTCCTCGATGCCGGCTTCAACAGCCCGCCGCTGCTCAGCCAAACAGGGATCCATCAAGGGACCCACTCGAGCCCCTTCTCTTCGCAGCAGGCATGCACACGGCACTCAAGGCGACGGCTGACGCGCACCCGACGGTACTTACCTTGGCCTACGCCGATGTCGTCACAGCAGCAGCTTTACGAGTGCACAGGAGCGTTGGACTTACCTTGCCTCAGCCCTGCTGGCCTACTCCTGGGGGAACCTTGCGAGTGCACAGGAGGGTTAGACTCCTTTGCCTCAGCCCTAGTAGCGCACGGGCTAGTGCAAAACCCAGAGACATGCGAGGCATGGAGTGAGACGCGAGCAGAGCCAGAGCACCTGCCTCAAGGCGTGCCAGTCTGTGAGGATGGAGTGCGCCTCCTCGGCGGCCACGTGGGGCCCTCAGCAAGAGCAGCGGCTTTCCTCCGCAAGCAGCTGGAGTCCATGGCAATACCTCCCCCACTGATAGCCACCATGGCATGGACCCACAAGTGGCGTCACTGCTGCTCATCCGTTGCGTCTCACGACGTGTTTCTTACCCCATCCGCACGACCCCACTGAGCTTCTTACCGTTGGAGGAATGGAGAAAGCCAAGCTATGCACGCTACTGGATGCCTGCGGGCTGCGACACCCCGGGGGGTATGAAGAACAGGCACGGCTATGGGCGCAGGCCTCACTACCACCTTCAATCGGAGGCCTCCGCTTGACAGACCTGACAGTGGAAGGCCCGTACGGATTCCTACCAAGTTACATCCAAGCGCAATCGCTTCTGCACGCCATTGGCAGCACTGCATGGACGCACCTGATGAAACCCTCAAACGGAGAACAGCAAGAAAGGCGGGAGCGCACATAGTTGGGAGGTTGGGTGCACTCCTGCAGAGGGTCGCTGCGAAAATGGAGTTGGAGCAGGTCCTTCAGGAACAACATTCTCACAATTGCACGATGCGGCCCTGGTCATCGCTGCAGCGAGAAAAAACCTGCACGCTCTGGTAAACACAATATTGACAGGAAAATTACCACCAGCAGTAGCCGACCTACTCACAGTTTCCCACCTGATTGCTCTTACCAAGCCTAATGGAGGGACGCGTCCGATCACCACTGGCGAGAGCATCATACGTTCGGCAGCCACGATTGGTCTGCTCTTACCTTCACAGTAGGCGCTGCTCGGGACTTCTTCCTGCCACGACAGTTTGGATAGCGGTTCCAGGGGGGGCAGAGACAATCACCCACACAACCCACCCGCACCCACCTCACGGTGAACCCAGGTGCTCTGGTCCTGCAAGCCGACCTAGCAAATGCCTTCAATAGCGTCAGCAGGGCGGCCATAGTCGAATCTCTATGCGGATCACCACTGGACCCATTGCTGCCGCGGGTGAAGCTGTCTTACAGCCAGCCCTCCGCCCTCTGCCTGGACGCAGGGTTCTCCCACCCACCTCTCCCAAGTGAAATTGGGGTATGACAGGGGGATCCCTTGGGTCCACTGTTTTTCGCTGCTGCCATCCACCCCGCGCCGACAAGAACAGCGTTTTCTTTCCCGTCCGTGGTATGCTTGGCATACGCGGATGATGTTACCTTCCTTGGGGCGTTTGACCACTTCACAGGTAGCTTTGAAGTAATTGCGCTGTGCCACAACCAAACGAAGTGCGCGGCCTGGTCGCAAGCAGGCCAACGGGCGGTGACCTTACCTAACGGTGTCCCCTTCACAGATGGCGGTTTGAAAGTACTTGTCAGCTTCTTTGGCGGCAACGACGCAACAGCCGAGTTCTTACGGAGAAACCTATAAGCAATGGGGTCCCCATTGCGATTGATCTCACGGATGGAGCCGCAACTCGCTTCTGTGCTTCTTAACCGGTGCATTTTGCGACGTGTCTCCTACCTCGCCTGAACGACACCGCTGACTCCATTGCCAGTCGAGGAGTGGTCTGGTTGGGGTCAGCGGCTGTTCGATACATTGTTGACGGCGTGTGTTATACGCCACCACGCGGAGAGGCAGAGACCACACGTACCTGGGTCCAGGCATCGCTCCCTATCTCGCTTGGGGGCCTGGGTTTAGGGTCAACAAGGCACCACTGTTCGGAGTGGGGCCAGGGCCGTCTAGAACACCTCCGCGACTCCGCGCTGACGAACACATCAGTGTGCACTCACCCGCACGCACTAACAAAGATGGTGCTGCTAAGCGACCTGTCGCAGTTTGTGGCACAACTGCTGACATCATCCCGCCTCATAGCACTAGCGAAGCCCGATGGGGGTCCAAGACCGATAACAATAGATGAAAGCATCATGAGGCTAGCAGCCAAAGCGGCACTCATCTTGAACGAAGACGTCAGCAAGTACATCCTGCCATATCAGTATAGCGTAGCTGTCGCTGGTGGGGGGGGAACGATCATTCACACTGCCCGCGCATTTACAGATGCCAACCCGGGCTGCCTTGTCCTCCAGACGGATCTAGCCAACGCGTTCAGCAGCATCGCCCGCCAGGCTATAGTCAGGGAAGCTACATCGGCACAATCGGAGGCGCTGCTACCTACCTTAGTGAGCAGCTGCAGGCCATGGCGAACCCCTTGCACTGCTTTCTCGGGCTGACCCACAACTGGCGTCATTGATGCTCACCCGCTGCATCTCGCGACGTGCATCAAACCTTAAACGGACAACCCCTCTCCACCTCCTACCTCGGGAGGACTGGTCGCAGTGGGGATGGAACTTGCTAATTACTCCACTCACTGCGTGCACCTCCAGCTGCAGGGCGTCCTGCTCATCCGCCGTGCGGCGCGGCCCCTCGGAAACGGCGTCCGACCGAGGGGCCGCGGCGTCCCGCTCCTCCGCCGTGGCCGGCCCGCGCCGCGCCGCGGCCGACCGAGGGGCCGCGGCGTCCCGCTCCTCCGCCGTGCGTTGCAGCGCCTCGACCTTCTTCTCCCGCTCCTCCACCGTGCGCTGCACTGCATCCCCTTGAACGTCCTCTCCCGCTCCTCCGCCACGCTCTGCGGCTCTTCGACCTTCCTCTCCCTCTCTTCCGCCGTGCGATGCAACCCTTCGATCGTTGCCTCTCGCTCCTTCATCGTGCGCTGCAGCTCGTTCCCCATGCCACTCCCTTCTTTATGCCACTCCTCTCCCCATACCACCCCACTCACCCCTCGCTACCCCCTTCCACATGCCACTCCTATCCCCTTGCCACTTCCCTCTCCATGCCACGCACCTCCTCAAGCCAAACCCTACCCTACCTTTCCCATGCCACTCCCCTTCCCTGTCACTCCCCTCCCGCCATGCCAGTCCCCTATCCCGCCATTCCCCTCCCCATGCCACCCCCCTCTCCATGCCACCCCCCTCCCCATACCACTCCCCTCCTCTTGCCACCCCACTATCCCTCCCACCCCCCTCCCTTTCCCATGCCACTCCCTTTCTCTGTCACTACCCTCCCCATGACACCTTCTTCACCATGCCACTCCCCTCCCCATGTCATCCACCTTCCCATGCCATCCCATTCACCACTCCCTTCCCCCTCAGACATACCTTCTCGAGCCTTTATCAACTTGTTTCGGCTCTCAACGATCACCTCCATTTCCTCTATTTTTATCCACTGCTTCTCTATCCATGTACGTAAATGCTCCCAGTCGAGCGCTGTGAATAGGGCAGACACGGAGTGAATGTAAATGCAGCAGGGGAGAATGTAAATGCAGAGGGAAGGGGCTGCGGGGATGGAGCACCGAGCCAAACGGAGATGAGGGAGAGGTGGGTGGAGGGGGGAGGGATGGACGGCCACAGCTCGCCGTGGCAAAGGGCAGGGGGGGCTGTACGCACGGTGCACCATGCCAAGATGACAGGAGGGGCTGAGGGCATGGTGAGCAATGAAAAATTGACAGGGGGGCCTGAGGGCATGGTGAGCAATAACAAAATGGCAGGGGGGGTTGCGGGCACGGTGAGTCGTGACAAAATGACAAGGGGGGCTGAGGGAGGTGGCGCACTCACCACCTGGGTCGTTGGTGCTGCCGGTGCTACTTCTGCTGTCGGCGCTGGTGCTGCTGTTGACAAAAATGTTTTCCTTTTTTTCATGCCTCTCATGGGCTGAGCGCTCTCCACTGGTGCTGCTGCTGACAAAGGTGCGGTCTTCCTCCTCATTCGCCTCATGGGCTACAGCAGCAGCAGCAGCAGCTGTATGTGTAGCTGATTGTTCCCCGCCCCGCCTCCCTCTCCTCCGTGTACGGCTGGTGGGAGGAGAGGGGGGCATGGAGGGGACGTACACCAGGTGAGAGGCATGGAAAAAATGGACAGCACCCCCGCCTCCATGATCCATCTCGACCGTGTATGCCTTGGGGGGGGGGGGGGGGGAGGGGAGGGGGGCATGAGTAGGAAAACATGGGGGTGAGGGGCACGGGAAGAAGGAAAGCAACTCCCCCTGAGTTGAACATTCTATGCCATATCATTGGTGGTTGGGGAGAACTTAAAAAAAAACACAAAAAAACAAACAAAAACAAACAAAAATGTCTGCCATCTAATACTGACCAGCAGGTGAGGTCTGATCAGTGGCGACAGAGTCGCCCTGACTGAGCAGGCTGGACGCGTCCGTCACGTCCCTCCAACCACTCTCGTTATCTGCGGGATGGCGCCCTCCTTCTGTCTCGTACACCGACTGGAAGAGCTGCGACAGCAGCGCCCTCTCCACCACCTGCTAGGTATAAGGGTTTAGGGATGGTGAAGATGGGGAAAACAGGGGTGGTGAGTGTCTCCAAAGGTCGTTGGTTCACTGCTTGCGTTTGTGGAAGGTGCGTGCATGGCAGTTCATGCGTACGTGGCAGGTGCGTGCTTGGCAATTCATGCCTACATGGCAGGTGCGTGCATGGCAGTTCGTGCGTACGTGGCAGGTGCGTGCATGGCAGTTCGTGCGTACGTTGCAGGGGCGTGCATGGCAGTTCGTGCGTACGTGGCAGGGGCGTGCATGGCAGTTCGTGCGTACGTGGCAGGGGCGTGCATGGCAGTTCGTGCGTACGTGGCAGGGGCGTGCATGGCAGTTCGTGCGTACGTGGCAGGGGCGTGCATGGCAGTTCGTGCGTACGTGGCAGGGGCGTGCATGGCAGTTCGTGCGTACGTGGCAGGGGCGTGCATGGCAGTTCGTGCGTACGTGGCAGGGGCGTGCATGGCAGTTCGTGCGTACGTGGAGGTGCGTGCATGGCAGTTCGTGCGTACGTGGCAGGGGCGTGCATGGCAGTTCGTGCGCACGTGGCAGGTGCGTGCATGGCAGTTCGTGCGCACGTGGCAGGTGCGTGCATGGCAGTTCGTGCGCACGTGGCAGGTGCGTGCATGGCAGTTCGTGCGCACGTGGCAGGTGCGTGCATGGCAGTTCGTGCACACGTGGCAGGTGCGTGCATGGCAGTTCGTGCCTACGTGGCAGGTGTGTGCATGGCAGGTACGTTTCAATACATCCATATACAATTTTGGTATGCATGCACCTCTGTCACCTCCTCGTTGCTGGGCCAGATGTCTCTCAGGAGCACCTCCTTGCCGTCCTTGTCCGATCCGATGCTCTCTTTTTCAAAGGTAATGTCCACCTGAGAAATCATTGGATGATGGTGTGAGTGCGTGTCAACGAAGGGGAGTGATACAAGATAAATATCCGGTTTTGGCGAATAACGTTTTAATCTGACATTATGATTACAACCGGGGATATATTTTTTATCATAAGTCAAACAAATGCAAGCCAGCAAACTGAACACTCACCGTGCCAGCGAGCGCATATGCCACGACGAGGGGCAGTGATGCAAGGTAGTTAGCTCGAAAGAGAGGATGCACATGCCCCTCAGAGGTACAGTTACAAGACCGCACTGTTGCTGCCACCAGACCTGTTGAGGAAGTGGGGGCGAGGGAGAGGGGAGTGGGGGAAGGGAGATGGGGAACGGGGATGCAGGGTATTTGGCTCGGGTGAAAGAAAGAAGATAAGAGAATATTCACTGTGTCAAGACAAAGAACCAAATTTGCTATTGTTACAGGGTATGCTACTGCAACGTACTGTTGTCAGAAATGGCCTCCGTAACAGACTCTGAAATCTCTGCCGAGCTTCCAATGCACGTGGTGTAGTCATACCCCACTACGTAGAAGCCCTGACCCTCCAGAGCTGGCAGGAGACCACTGCACACATGGTGGGGAAAGAGGGGCAAACAAGGACGGAGAGGAGGAAGGAAAGAGACAGAATGCACGTCAGGCAGCCGTACCCCTATGCCCTTGATAGCCGGGAGGATAACACTGCAAACCGACTGCAAACCAAGGGGGGTAGATTAAAGAACTGAAACCTCCATGCTTAGCCCTCCCTCACCTGGCCCAAGGTACTTGGTGGCGACGTTGCACCCAGGGAGGGGGCAGGCTCGTCTTCACATACGGCATCCCTTAGAGCCGCCTCCCACTCACCTTCGCCGCCACAACGGCTGCTTCCAGCATCACTGACGAACTACACTAGCACCACCACCTCTTCCCTACCGCACCTTGAGGAGTCTTACGTTCCCCTGCATCCCTCACGAACCCCCTCCCTAAATCGTTCACTAAAATCCTTCAGCTGCAGTGCACCTGAGAAAACCCTACCGTATGAGCCGCCCTGAACCCCAAACTCCTCTCACCTGGCCTCAAGGTACTTGGTCACCACGTTGGAGCCAGGGGCAAGGCTCGTCTTCACGTACAGCTTCACTTGGAGCCCCCTCTCACTCGCCTTCTTCGCCAACCGGGCTGTTGTCAGCATTTCCGACGGGTTGAGCGCGCTGGTGCAGGAGGTGATGGAAGCAATGACCACGGATCCGTGCTTCAGCTCGATTTGCACCCCTTCCTCGAGAGTCACCGGCACACTCTTTCCTTGCTGGTCCTTGGGGATGCCGAAGCCCTATAGAAGGGAGACCAAGAGAGGGGATCGGGTGGTAGAGACAAAACAGCACAGTGAGTCACTGGAGGTTGAGGCATGAGAGAAGAAGTTGAACGGGTTAGTGCGGAGACGAGGGCAGCGATGACCGTGGATCCGTGCTTCAGCTTGGATTCCACTAATTCCTTTACAGTCACCTTCACACTCTGGCCCTGCTCGGCCTTGTTGTCCAGGCTAGGCAAGCACAGCAGTCTGAGTGTAAGGGACAGGGTGCCTTGAAACATGCTATGATTGCACGGAAGCCTTGCCTTTGAACGGTCGGTGAGGCATTCGTCCTAGCCCGACTTCAAGGTCCTGGGGTTGACAAATGTAAGCGGCCTGCAGATAAGCAAGCAAAGGAGGCAACCGAACAAGACCATTGAGAGGAGAATGAGAGAAGGATGGAAGAAGGGGGGTTTGAGGGGTGTGGGGGAGGGAAAAACTGGAGAAGGAAAAAAGCTGGAGGAGGAAAGCAACTGGAGGAGGAAAGCAGTTGGAGGAGGAACAGAGATGTAGAGGAACAACGGTTGGGGGCATATTATTGCCTTCTTGCGACCAGAGAACCATGGCTTGCCAGTAGCGTCTAGAGATGTCGGGCCCAGAGATGCGGGGCCCGCAGACGCAGGGCTCCACGGTCGCAAGGTCCAGCTGAAGGTAGGTGGAATACTTGGGCTTGGCCTCCGCCTCTCCAGCATGGGGGTGAAACAGGCGGCAAGGCAAGGATAGAAGGGAGCATACGGATGAAAATTCAGACGCAGGGCTCTACAATAGCAAGGTGCAGTGCAAGGAATGACAAGTACTAGGACGTGGCTCGTGCATAGCAGTAGTCAGCTCACCGTGCATAGTAGCAGCCAACTCACCGAGCATAGCAGCAGTCAACTCACCATGCATAGCAGCAGACAACTCACCGTGCATAGCAGCAGTCAACTCACCGTGCATAGCAGCAGTCAACTCACCGTGCATAGTAGCAGTCAACTCACCGTGCATAGCAGGGGAACAGAAGGCAGAGGAACAACATTGGCAACAACGACAACATCAGAGCTAGCAATCATGCTGGTCGACCTCCAGCGCAGCACGGTCGACCGCGATCCAGCGTTGCAGAGCTCGCACCGCTCCAGCGCTGCAGAGAAGCAGCTTGCCAACGTTGCAAGTCTACGGTGTGCCAACGCTGCAGCAAGTCGGCTGCACAGCGTTGCACCCGCATAACAACGGTGCACCTGCTTAGCAGATGCGTGCAGCTGGTTGGTGTGCCACGCCCCGTCACGTGCACAGCGCAGACGCCTGGCCGAGAACACTCCAGCGACTGCGCCCACCAGCCACGTCGACCTCGGGATACCACTTCCGAGGTCGGCCTCGCAGAAACCACATCGTCGACCATCGCACACGTCGCCCGGGTAACTCGGTCGATCAGGCAACCACGCCCGGTCGGCCTGCTTGGTCGGTCGCCGGCTACACAAGGCCGGCGTCCCCAAAGTCGGCGCCAGCTGGTCGACGCCCGGCGTCCTCCCAGGTCGACCACACTGACTCGGCGCCCTACTACTCGGCGCCCTGCTGCTCGGCGCCCTGCAGCTCCACTGTCCAGGTCGACGTCGGCGCCCCCCTTAGTCGACCACCGGGTCAGATCGGCCGCCGACTCCCTGTCGTCGGCGGCGTGGCAGTGGCGTTGGCGGCGTGGCAGTGGCCTCATGCAGGTCGACCAAACCCGTCGACCTGCGTGCCGGACTCGGCGTCACCCACTGCAAATGATCGGCTGCACTCCCCGTACACCCGACTGCGAAGTCGGCTCTGCCCAAGCAAGGACGGGGCCAACCACAACTTCCGTTGACAATATGGGCAACGCGCGTCGTGCTCTCAAGGATTATCTTGTCAAGCAGGGTGTTTCTCACGCCACCCATCTTTGAGGGGGCGACGTGTGAGAGTACGACGACTCTGCCTACATGAACTTACCTATATTTACCTTCTCATGCATTATATTGCTTAGCTTTATCTGATTCTGCATGATTTCGCTCGTTTTCCATAGAATCGATGCTTACTATAATTTATTATAGTTACAGCACCGTTCTAGGTTGCGTGCACCGAATCCTAGGCTTATCGGTTGCCACCGAATTGCCTTCTACCGAATTCGGGAAGGACCCGTTCGGGACGCTTCGCGACCCGCGGAACCTTCTAGTAACACCCGGGTTACTGCCTTTGTGTCGGGCCAATTTATAGCCTCGTGTTGTACCCAGGTGATCATATTATAATTTCTGAACCAGTTCCTCGATCCTCACACTCTGCACGGCCACTCCACCCCTCTCTCCGCCGCCCCTTCCATGATCTGCTCATGATACCTCGCCTTCAGAAGCTTGATGTGCTGCCACGCCATCAGGTTCGCATTGTCGTCATTATCCACGTACTGGTAAGTGCAGACCGTATGCCCTGACATCAGTACTGCCGCTAGGCCTTTCGTTATCCCGCCATACAGCTCCAGTAGGACCAGGGGCTTTCAAAACGCTCGTAGTTTCAGCTGCGGCTCCTTCAAGTTGTCACTCACTCCCCAAATCTCCTCGTACTGCTTCCTTGCTGCCACGGTCTCATCCATTTCCTTCCACGTCAGGATCCCCAATTCCTCCTCCATCGGCTTTTCTATCGCTTTGTATCCCTCCCGTGAATCCCTCCTGATGAACCACACCGGCAGCTGCGCGATCGGGCTCATATGCTCCCAGTATGTAACCCGGTACATTAGCTTTTCCTCCCACATGCAGATCGTCGTCCCAATGGCGTACAAGTACTCCACTCCCAGCAGCAGATCGTAATCCTCTGACATTGAGATGCCGCAGAACATCCTCACCACGCACCCCTCCTTCTGTCCGGGTCGGATCACGATCTCCACGGTGCTCCGGGTCCTGGGCATCCACGTGGATGCTCCTCTATCCGCAATCATGAGTAGGTAGTTTTCCAGGATTACTCGGTCCGCCCGATCCAGCCCTAGCATCATGGCCATAAGAGCTCCTATCAGCACGTTATGCGCCCCTGTGTCCAGTATCGCCTGCTTAACCTTGACTCCTCCCACCGTCATCACGTCTCTCTCCACCACCAAGACTGAGGGCTGGCACGCCATTCTCTCCAACGGGTGCCGTCGTGCCTCTCCATGCTAGGGTTCCTCCGAAGTGTCATGCCAGGTCCCTCTCTCCTGCGACAGCTGCTCCCTTGGGAAGTATCGAGGCCACACCCGTAGACCCATTTCATCTCTCTCCCGAGCCGGCCATGCCATCAGGGAAAAGCTTGCCTTGCTGCCTTCCTCTCGGCCTTGGCTATCATCGCTGTTCCCTTCGAGTCCTGGCCTTCCAGCACCTGCAAATTCCACTGTAGCCGTGCCATCTGAGCCTGCTTATCCTCCGAATCCTTTTTTTGCAGCCTTCTCGTGTCGAAAACCTCCTCTCTGCCTTCCTGTTCCCCTCTCTAGTGGACCAATTCTTGCTGCCATCTTCTCCTGTCTGCCGGTTCCTCACCCTTTTCTTCCTTCTCCCTCCCCCCCCTCCCCCCCCCCCCCCCCCCCCCCCCCCCCCCCCAAGTGGTGCCCTTGGCCTTCTTACCCCACTTTGTCCTTGCCCTTGCCTTTGTCGTGCCTCTGCTCAGACCCTTCTTGCCAAGATCAGACCCTTCCTAACTCATATTGACTGCGGCTATGACTTCGTTGAAAAACTGCTCATCTCAGAAAAGAAGTTACAGTAATTCACGAAAACTAACACGCAGTGGCAGTCCCATGGCCCAGGACCCAACCATATGCTTCCCAACTCAAACCCTAGCTAGGCAACTGTAACTATTGGTGGCTGTTACATCTGCCTAGCTATCCATCCACACCGTTGCCTTCCCTGCCTCCAGCTGGCGATGTTGCCTTCCAGCTTCCTCCTGGACTCGGTGTCTGCAAAAGAAACGAAACACACACATACACGTCATCTCGCTGCCACCCAGCTGCCACTCCACCCTCCCAGCTCAGTCCACCGCCCAGGTTCACTAATCCACTTGGTGTTGCCCCCACTGCCGAGTTGCCCGACCTGTTTCGCCTCTGCCTCTGCTATTCCCCGCTGTCAAATGCTCCGGGTATATACAAATGTACAAGTTCTCCACACCACGCCCTCCTCTACACTCTCTGTCGGTACTTCTTATGCGCAAACCTTAGAATTCTGACACTCGCCTTGCTGCATAACAGTCTTTCTCCACGTGTCCCTTTCGCCCGCATCGATCGCACACTGGAGCGTTCGTGCAGTCGCGCCTCATGTGTTTCTCGCTCCCACATGTCGAACACGTCGGCGGATTGCGGCACTCCCTTCGGAGGTGCCCCGCTTTCCCGCACTTGTGGCATCGGCTTTCTTCCCCTCCTAGGCGTGGTGAATGTCCCCGGTCGGCCGGTTTTGTCGCCCACTCTGGCCTCCTGCGATCCTCTCTAGGGTCGCTCTAATTTCGTACATGCGACGGCCCGTATCCACTTGCTTCACCACCTCGTATGCTTCCTTAGGCGTTGCTCGAGCCCCCATATAAAAAATGTGCACCGCCCGTCACGCCTGAGTTCGTAGTGTAGGCCGTTTTGGAACTTGCTGACCAGCCGACCTTGGTCGTGGCAGCTCATATCCTCCGCTAGCTCCACCGGCCGACCATAATAGGCCAGTAGCGACTCCCCTGTCCGGCGCCGAAAGTCCCGAAACTCCGCGACCCGTTCCGGTGTCTGGGCAGGAAACTGCTCTACCAACATGCCCAGGAAGCGAGTCGTTGGATCCCTCTCCCCCGGGGCTGCTCGCGCCGCCCATTCCAGCAGCTCCCTTCGACTGATGCGGTTAGTAAGCGTGTTTGCCAAACCACGGAAAAAACTCGTTAGGGTCCAGGCAATCTCGCTCCCAGCGTGCGCTCAAGTTCTTCAGCTGCATCACGTACATAGAGGGTCCTCGTCGCATACCCCCCCAGAAACGCTCGAGCACTTCGATCTTGGTCAACAGCGTGCATTTCCAACGCTGCACGGACGCCTCCTCCTGCCATGATACACTTCGTCGATAGGAGCCTGACGCTGGCCCTTCCATTCCACTCCGCATCGGCTGCTCTCTCGATCGCGAGTCCTTCCTCTCAGCTCCCGTGGGTGCCGATTCTCCGACTGGCGGCTCCCAACGCTCGTGCCCTTCGTCCTCTTGCCTCGGCGAATCGGGACCGCGCTCCACATCTTCTCGCGTGTCCGTCCCTTGTTGCATACCTCCCGTCCTTCCTGTCGGCTCGCGATTATTGTTCTCAATCTTAAGGTCCATCCCGTACTCCATCCCGCCTCGCGTCCGCGTACTACTGCATCCTAGATTGTTTGTATGTGATAAGCCCTCTTGGCTTACTCACTTACTCCCGTCACAACCTCCTAGATTAAAGCCACAGTCTCAAGTAGACCACGTGCTTTGCAGTCGATGAAAAACGGGCCTGTCTGATTGGTTTACAACTTTTGGGCCAAAATTTTGACAAATCGAGGCTCTCCAAAGAACCCACTTTTCGCTCAAGTGCTTTGCAATTGCAAGGCCAACCCGTACCTGAGATCCTGGCTTTAACCCATCTTGCTTGTGTAGGCATGAGTTTCTCCTATCCTGCTCGAAATGAAGCAATTACATGAGATTCACACAGAACATACAAACAATGCAGGGTCAATTGCCCGTACCCCCTGTAACTCCCTATGCTCCTCCCCCTATTGCTACACCCTGTGCTTCCACTTGACGTGAGGGCCTCTTCACGTCAGTGAATTGTCAACCTCTCCTCCTCTTCCCACCAGCACTTAGCCATCATTCTGCCGAACCTCCAGCTTGTGCCTGTAACTCTAACTGGCTCGAGCAGCCAACCTGCTAAGCAAACAAAAGCAGCCAACCTGCTAAGCAAACAAATCGCACACGCATGCACACGAAACAAAAGCAGCGACTTCCGCGTGTCTGCCCACTCTCCCATCACATCTCATCCTCCCGCATACCAGATCATCCGACCCTTTG